CCAATTCCAAACACAACCTTGTAGTCGTAAGGGAACTTCCTCTTCCAAGTACCAAGGGCGGGTGTCATGTGTCAGAGTCACAAAAGGGTACCTTCAATGTTATGACTCAAAACTAATGCAGAGATTTAGATGGAAATGGGGCCTTAGTTTCCTTCCAAGTTCTAGATAAAATTTATATTGTTATTAGGCAAAATGACAAATCAAATCCACAGCACTCATTTCCACTGTCAAATATCGTTCTATCAAATGGAAAATATTACATCAAAGCTTAGCAAATTAAGGAACTGTTGTTTGAATTGCAAGGCCATGTGGCGTAGGAGCCGATACCAAAATGCCAATTTTGGCGAGATTTAAAATCCCACTACGATGAATTCGATTGCCGGGTTCACCACTTAGTTTGGCAAGACCTAAGATACAGAGATAAATTGAGAGAATCCACTCTCACGAAACTCACTCAACAGAGGAGAATTATAAACTGAAATTTTTGGATTAAAACTTATGCATACAATGAAGGGAACATAGCTATTTATAGGCAAAGTCTAATATAAGGCAATAAATGAAAAGTGAAAATGCAGTTGGGAGTTAGCCATCTTTGTGGAATTTAGTGGCCACTTTTGACAAAATTGCACCGGCCTATTTGTAGTCTGCAGAGTGTAGTCTGAAATTTGCTGACTTGCAATCACTACTAGAAAAATGACGTATACGGACCGACCATATACGGACCGAATAGTGTCAGTCCGAAAAAATAAATATTCGAACCAATATCGGTCTGAATATATTCAGGTGGGGGAAAATATACTAATGAACATATTCGGACCGGTATCGGTCCGTATATTTCTGGTGGGAGTCACAGTATAGACGCGCCAATAATATTCAGATTGTTTTCGGTCTGAATATTATTTCTGGAAAAAATAAATATTAAATACCAAAAAATATTTCTGGCGGGAGTCAACAGTATAGACGCGCCAATAATATTCAGACCGTTTTCGATCCGAATATTATTTCTGAAAAAAATAAATATTAAATACCAAAAAATATTTCTGGCGGGAGTCCACAGAATAGACGCGCCAATAATATTCGGACCGTTTTCGGTCCGAATATTATTTCTGAAAAAAATAAATATTAAATACCAAAAAATATGAATAAAATATTATTTAAGTAAATATATACGGACCGGCTTCGGTCTGTATATATCCATTAGAGAATATCTCTGAATTGATTGTACGTTGGGTCCCACTGACAATTTTTTTCGGACCGGGATCGGTCTGGATAAGGCTGCATGCAGCCTTCTTCCCTTCGGTTCCCCCGTCCCCCCCATTCTGCGATTTCTCCACATTTTTCCTCTGTTTTTTCTGTCTTTTTTCTTCCTCTCCACTGCAAGCTTCTCCTCCAATCTCTAGTCAACCACCACTGAGGTAAATAACTCTTTTTAGCCGGTTTTTGGCC